AGCTGGGTCGCGGCTGTCATTGGCGGTTACAGAAATCATCTCCACATCGTTATTCTCCCTTGCTGGGGGTCCAGGGGGCGGTCGAGTAGGAAGTGGTGGCGGCTGAGATTCAGTTGTTGCTTCAACAGAGCTCTTCGTTTCTTTGAGGAGTGTGCCGGTGGACAATAGGACAGCATTGGCCAGCCTCTGAGACGGACGCGTTGCTACCTTGTCGGATTTTTCAAGATTGTTGAACAGATCTGAAAGCTCCTGTACAACTGAGTTTGGTCAGTTAAGCTGTAGACGCCTTACCTAGACAAACTTACAAGCCTGAGCAACGACAGCTTCGCCACGATCCAGCTGCATTTTGTTACCACCGAGCAATCGCTCCTTGATTTTCTCATCCGTCAACTCGAGCTTGAACTTGTCATAGTTGATAACAACATCTCGGACCGGTTTGACAGTAAAAAGATATTGCAAAAGGCTGTTGAGGTAGCACGTATTTCCAATATTCTCCAGTCCTACCGGAACATCAAAGTTCGCAGCTTGTGCGGAGGCGCCGGTGGCGCTGTTTCCACCAGGAGCTGCAATACCATGCATTTCTCGTAGTTCCCCAACTGCGCTTTTGAGACCGGTTGAGTTCGTGTGCTCGGCAATCTTCTCCATAGCCTCCAAGTAAGTTGTCTTGGCATCCTTGTCTTTGGCGTTTTGAATCTGTACAATTGATTAGACTCATTCTCTAGGCTCAACAACAGGCGTATATTTCTGACCTTTTCTTTGACATCGTCCAACGTATCAGGCCCAAAGCCGCTGGCATCACTCAAGCCAAGAATCTCCTTCGCCGTGGGTAAAGAGAACCCCTCCCCATACTCCATCACCAACTCTGCCGTGTAGTTATCATCGGATGATGCTTGAGAAATCAGCATCAACATATTTCGGGCGGTAGTAGCACAGCTGGGGTCTTGTGCCACCTTTCGCCGGAATGCCTGAACTATGGATTGTGCCTTGTATTCATTCAGAGGCTGCAGCTCGAAGAAGAGCAGAGCCTGGTTTGTCAACCCGCCATCGTCACTGTTTGATTGATTTTGTACTTGGCTCTCGAAGATTGATGATTGAGTGACAGCGTATTCATTGAGCTGTTCGTCGTTAAGGTCATTTGCAATACTCATAAGAGCGTCAATGAGTCCTTTTCGCTTATCAGGAACAATATCCCACTGCCTCTTGTAAGCATTGACAACAATCTCCTTCGGCTGATTCGGCAAAACTCCCAGGATCTCATAACGCGCAATGTTCACTAAAACGGAGTTCACGTTCGGTACCTCTGCACATCCCAAATCGGCATGTAGACCAGGAGTGCAAAGCTCAGCAGGCTGGCCGCCTCTGTGTATGATGCACTGAACCTCAGATCTCACGTCTTCGATGTACGCTCGATATGTCCCTAAATCGGTAGCTCCAGAGGGGTTATCTGACCGAGGAGGGATTGGCGGTGTGAAAGTCCCTCCATCAACTCCATCTTCCGCTACATCAACTGTTTCCTCGAATTCGAGTTGTCTGAACATTTCAAAACATGGAGTTCCGAAGAGTACAAAGAATCGCTTGTTCCTCTTAGAGATGCTCCTCGCGTTCTCCTGTGAGGTGGCCTCAATTATGTTCTTGAGATATGTGTTCAGGTTCAGAGGAGCTTGCAGTGCCCAGTCATCGCTTGCCGCGGCGTACCGGTCCGGATCCTGTTCCTTAGCACGGCGCACATTCTTACGAATGGTATCGTGGTCAAGTAATAAGTCGATCCACTCGCGGGTCATGCGAGGTTCTGAGATTTCCAGGGTGACTGAGAACGTACATGGGTCGGCTGAGCATGCAAAAGACTCGCGAGCAGCTAGAGGGTAATACTTGTTTCGTTGTCTGTCATCCATGAGTGGCGAAGATTGCGAATCTTGACCAACCCAAACAAGATGATGCCAGGGGAATCTCGCATCACTCGGAGGCCACTGTTCCTGTTGAGGGTTGCATGACTCTTGAGAGTGCCGCTCGTCCCATGACATCTTAAACACAAAATGAAAGTGGCAGTCAACGCACAGCGAGGACAATACCCGCGTTGATTTGGTTGAATAACTCTGGTTACCATTTATCATCAATCGATGGGGGTGATCCCATAGATATGGTGCGTTCAGTTCTGTTTTGCGCAACCGTTCAAAGACATCGCATACAGTAAAGTTGTTGTGCAAGAGTTCATATATCCATCTCGAAGGGTGACATCCTGGAAGCAGTACAGCTAGTTAGCTACCGATTTTGATGCTTAAGATTAATTGTAAACATACCTCTTGTATTTTGATTTGATATCCTGTCTTTAAGAGGCGTCGAGTTTTGAGTGACAGAAATTCCACTTGTCCCAGGCAAAGAAGCGTAGCTTGTATCTAGATCCTGTGCGGACCTCAGGTCGTATCGGCTCGCCATGGGGAGCTGCTCAGATGCTTGATCGATGTCTGGTTGGCAATATTGCTTGATTAATCCGCTTGTGTACTTTATTAAGAAGTAAGGTCGTAGGTAATATTGTGCGTTGGAGAAGGACGTGCTTGGGATTCTAGTTTGTGGATTGCGGGGTGGCACTTGTTGGATTATTCGCAGATAGGGAACCGTGGACTAGACTCTTTGTGAAACATGAAGAGATACTGTCCACTAAATCAGTGACATGAGTTCGCTGGGAAGATTCGGTTTCGTTTGCGCGGGATTCGTGGGTCGGTGAATGGAAGCAACCTCGGTGCGGTGGCGGTCGAAGCTCTAGTTATGAGGATGAATGAAATCGTACGGGGGTCGAGCTTCGTGCTTATTTGGTCATAGTTTCGTTAACCGAGACCTATGGCGGAAACGATAAATGATAGACGTCAATAAGATGTTGACTGAGAAGAAACAATTTGGATGTTTGGGAAAGTTTGAGGATGCTCGCAATGATGGCGTAGACGAAACGGACGTAGCTGACGCAGTGCTCTTACTTGGCCTAGGTAAGTACCCATGAGATGGGTGATGCAAGCGCTGAGTCAGCACCTTAATTGGGGTGGAAGGCTGAATCTAGGGGCCAATGCGACAGTTTACATAAAGCTTCACCTATCAGATACAGAAGGCAACTAGGTAGTTTCTATCGTCTTCTCTCTCTTTCTCTTCTTAAATCACTAGGTACGTAGTGTTAAAGCTGTTTTAATTAAGCTTTGGTTTACGTACACCTTTTGGGCTCGTAAGTTCCATTTCCAAACCAAAAAATCATCAAATGCGACGCCTTGCGCCAAAATCACACCGAACTTGGGAAGACAAGTGACTGTACATATATATGTTTTTCATCAGCGGCGTTCTCGCTACGTACTGTTCCACGTCTGTTTTTAGTTCGTAATTAACGGAACTCGACTACCCCAAATATCACTTGAATCGCATCTTTCCCTTTGTCGATTAATGATTTCTCATATAGGTGATTGGATATCTGACGCGCCCCCTGTTCATGGCATGGGCCAGTGATGACTCAAGCTTGTGCCACTCATCGATACGAAGCAGCACAAATAAGATTTATTCCAACCTGAGTAAATGCCCCTGTTTGCTACGCATAGTTACACAAAGCACACACAACGCCGGCAAATGTCATTCACGTTCGTGATTCTCCTCACAAAGTGTAACATTTGTCTGGGTCCAGAAACCAAGCTCAAACGAAAAAGACGGATGGAGAAGAATAGTCGATATGAGTATCTAAGCAACTTGCCTTCTCAAGAATGGAAATACGCTACTCTCCTCATTCTTCTTGATTTTCACTACTAGCAAACCATGCGGGAAATTTGGCACAGTACTCAATAAACTTAAAGATTCCTATCAACAATTTACTTACTGCTTATTACTTAGATAGGCAGTACAGAAGGCCCTCTCGATCTAGAGAAGTAAGAGTGTAGGAATGTGTATCAAAATACGGCTTTTGGATTGATATGATCTATGGGGTCCCAAATGGGGCTTTGTAAAGTTGGGCTCGTATTACGGATAGGTACCTATGCTGAAAACAATACTTCTGATTCCATCTAACACCTTGATGCTGAGGCAGGCTTCTCATCAAGCAGCGTCGTTGCAATTCATTACGAAAATATTAGTACAGTAATTCAGTTTTTATTACGCCAAATCGATTTAAGTTGTAAAAATAGGACAACGTTACTCTTCCGTGGATAGCATCTACAGCAATAGATCTCAGGATATCACCAACACTCATACACAGCGGCCAATCGGAAAACAAGTTAACCCTGCAGATCATCTTTCATCTCCCGCGTCACGGAAAGGCGCCATCCGGCACTAAAGCGAGTTAAAAGACTCAGCGCTTGAGCGGTTAGCACTCCATCCAACCGCAACGGTCAATTAGCCGCCCATACTGTAAGCCCCTTGTCCAGATTCGCAACCACGCAATAGATTAAGTGACTTCAAAAGTCTTGTGTCCGATGTCCATGGCTTTTTTTCTGGAGTATCCAATGCGCTGAAAAGCGTACAGGAGATTCTCAGCTTTGGCACTTTTCTTGCACTGGGACTGTCAGTGTGCTGAGTTGTCTCTACAGATGGTGCGGCACTCTACCAGGATGACCCCCCCAGGGCATAGCGCGAAAGCCGAAGTATCGACTATCTATAGGAGCTACGGAGTAGTATTGGTTGACTTACGTTCGGCGCTTAATCCAGGCTGATTTTGTAAAGTTAGGTAGTATCAGATCCTTGACGGCCCAGTTATTCCTGTTTCGTGATTATGAACCATCGACCAACATACATACTCATCTTACCTTAACACATCTTCTGCTATTTTGCTAGAGATCCTGTTTACTCCATGGGTTGAGAGATGTTGGCTCTAAACACTTGATTCTTATGGAAAATTCTCCTGTTCATCAACTATACCCATGATACGATAGTCTTAAAGCGGCTGTCGCCCGGCGCTTGAGCCTGACATTTCTTCTTCTATTTTCAAACAATTTGTGTAGAGGGTGGCAGGCCACTTTTTCCAATTTTCTATATTAGTTATGTCGAGTTGGGAGACGACAGCCCTTCGGCTGCAGGGCAATGCGACTGCCGACTCAACACCAAGCTCCTTGGACAAGAGTCTACCATTACTACCAAAGAGAAATGCCAAGGCTAGAAGAACTACAGGTGTGAAGGAGGTATCTCCAGAAGAGAAAGGCTACAGGACAAAAGGATGGACACCACTCTCGCTGTCGACACCGATATTGCTTGCCGTCATCGCCCTTACGATCCTTCTCGCCATCGCCGTTGAGACACTAGCACAACGGAGTGCAACTCAGGGTGGACTAGCCCTCTCACCCACCCTCAACGATATTCCTGGATATGCTAAGTTCAGTTACCTTTATGTGCCGACTATAATCGCCGTGTTGTACAGTATGATATGGAGCTGGATTGACTTGGATGTCAAGAGGATGCAGCCATGGTTTGAGTTGTCCAAAAAAGGTGGTGCCACCGCCGAGAACTCGCTCTTTCTGGATTATCAATACGAGTTCGTGGCATTGGTTCCATTTAAGGCGGCAAAACAAAAGTGAACCCTTTCTTGTTCTCATATTGCAACAACTCCTAACAACTCAAATGTAGGCATTGGCCGGTTTTCTTTGGAGGGACAGCCATGGTCATGGTTTTCTGGCTTCTCACGCCACTACAAAGTTCTCTGCTGGGAACGAAGGTGATAAACCAGACTAAAGCAGCAAACATAACGCACCGATCCCAGCTTGTTCCATTGAATCAGCAGGTAGCCCTTTTGGATCCCGAGGTTTTGAACAATGGATATGCGGTTGGTTGGTTAGGTCAGCCATATCCACCCTTCACAACATCCAAATTTGCGCTTCTGCCTTTCTACCTTGAGAGTAATACAGCTCCAGACAAGGTTCCCACTAACTGGACGGCTGAAACTACAAAGCTGACCACGGAACTGAGCTGCTGGCAGGCAGATATTCAACGAAACGAATACGGTGCGACACTAGCTTACAACTTTCTCAATGGCCAGGGATGCAATGCCACTGTCAATATGCGACGGGGAGTAAACTACACAATGAATTATATTGGATATTATTCAAACGCCTATGCGGACATATACCTTGGGAATCCAGATTGTCCACCAACCAGAAACTCGACGCATCAGTTTCTAGCAACCTGGGCCAGGCAAACCGACTTGAACGGAATTACCGAAACTATTCCCATGACTGAAATTCCTCATTTCAACGTTACTGCCATTTTCTGTCAACCGACTTACTACAAGCAACGCGTTATGGCAAGGGTCAAATCGTCCAACCTCGAACCCGATACCAATTTTATGCATTCTATCGGACCAAGAGAGATCCTTACAGATAAGGAATTCAACTCAACGGCTTTCGAATATATCTTAGCAAACGGCGTGTCAGAAAAGATCATCGTTCGTGACTATCCTTTCTCTCGTGTTGTTGAACAGCATCCAAGGCTTAACAAGACTGGACTCACAAAGCCTGTCTCGAATATGGTCGGTTATGCACTTGCAGGAAGAGACAATCCCGTCACAGACTATTCATCCAAGGAAATGCTCGAGCAAGTGTACAACGATGCCCACCAATACTTGTTTTCTCTGGCCGTTCATCATTTACTTGTCAATAGCACTAAGCTCAGTAACAAGACCGCCTCTGTTGAGTTCTTCCTTACGGGTGTGGTAGTAAGCAGAGTGTTCGCGACGTCGGTCGAGTGCCTGATGCTCGTCATCGCCATATTCACAGGCCTTGTTCTCTGGTTATGTCGTACCTCTCCATGCCAGCTTCCCATGAACCCTTCGTCCATTTCGAAATACCTTGAGATATTTCGACATAGTCCCGAATGCCTTCAGGCTCTATCATCACTCGATAGTGCCGATGAAAAGACATTGTTTGAAGAATTTCGTCAAGACCAGCTCCGATTATACCACGACAAGCATTCAAACTACACCAAGGTGTCGATTGACAAGTTTATTGGGGATTCTTTCAGGCCTGATCATTGCGATGCTGGCTTGCAGAAGGGATATTATAAGCCTATCAAACCACTGGCTCTTAGAAGGTGGAGTGGATTGCTTTTTGTCCTTGTTTTAATTGGCGCCATGGTAGGGCTTTCTTACTTGAAGCACCAGGAGAAAGTCTTGAAAGGTGATGTGTTTCATCCCAGGCAGTCTTCTCATCTCCTAGAATGGCACTGACCTTTCTCAGGTTTGCATCGCCCATCTCAGAACTTTGAGGTATTGCAACTCTTGGAAAACTATATTCCGACAATCTTTGCGACGCTTATCGAGCCATTCTGGGTTCTCCTTAATCGACTGCTTTGTGTTCTCCAGCCCTTTAGAGATCTCTGGCAAGGCAAAGCAGAACCTTCACGAACTATCTCTGCTTCCTATACATCAATACCCCCACAGCTCGTTATCTGGAGGGCTTTAAAGTCGAAGCACTTTGTCCTCGTGTTGGTATGTGCAATGGCACTACTTGCCAACCTTCTGGCAGTTGGTATGGGTTCTCTTTTCAATGAAGCGCCTATGATAGCAGAATATACCGAAACCCTGGTCCCAGCTTTCATGGCCAAGTTCGATAATGACTCGGTCTTCAGCCTCGACGCGACTCTAAGTCGAGACGTGATCACGACAAATCAGTACTCTGATCATTACTATGTTGCAATGGCTAACTTCTCCTCTGGTACAACACTTCCCCCATGGGTCTCGAAAGATTACTACTTCCAGAGGCATATATTCAGCAAGCCGAAAGATTCAAATTCAAGCGATACTTTCAGTATACCGGCTCGAGGATTCGGTGCCAAAGCAAATTGCACAGCGGTACCCACAAGACGATTGACCATATTCAAAGATCCTCGCCCAACAAGAGATTTTAGCAAGGTGGAAGAACGCGACTGTGGTAATGGTATTGATCTTCTCAGTCAAGACATGCGAGAAAACACATTCAATCGCTCATCCGGTGTATCCGCCGAGGAGAAAATAACAACAGTTGGGTACAATTACGGGCCAATCTCATGTGCGCGAACCTTGATAATGGGTTGGGCTCGTACTCCTGAAGCCGATACCATCAATGGAACTGTAGACGCCAGTTTCATGACCTGCCGACCCATATTTGAAACAGCCATGTTCAACCTTACTGTCGATGCACTTGGACATATCCTATCTTATGAGAAAACGAGCGACTTGGAAACGACCTTGGACTACGAAGGCTGGGGACCACAAGTGGACTTTATTTTTCAGAACATCCATAACCAATGGAATGACTTGGCAGCTCAATGGCATAACGATTCCACGGCAAGAGACTGGATGAACTTTTTCACAGTGCTTATGACGGGATCTCGGGATGTCATCGATCCTAATCGGCCACCTCCGGATACGGATAAGTTGAGACCTACTATCGAAGATATATACCGTCGGGTTTTTGCCATATTCCTGAGTCTAAATGAACAGCTCTTTGATTCCAGAGGTGAGATGAAACCATCCACTGTGGTTCGAAGGACACAGGAAACGAGGATATTCATGGAAGAGGTCTCTTTCATCATGACTATGACTGTTCTAGCGCTGAACGCAGTGGTTGCTGTTATCTTTTACAGCAGGGCCGTTCCTTTTGTTTTACCTCGGCTACCAACAACGCTGGGTTCTGTTCTAGCATACGTCGCACCAAGTCGACTTGCTGGACCTGCCTATAATGTTGCTACTCCCGGCAATACATCTCGGACATTTAGTTTCGGAAGGTATATCGGAAGAGATGGGGACGTCCATATTGGAATTGAAATGGATCCTCATGTTGTGCCTGTCGATCCGCTCTCACTGGAGGTGCAAAAGAGCTTTCTATGGCGCATGTTCAGGAGAAGGCCACAGCCAGAAACTCAGATCAAAAGTGGTACATGGCTCTAGATTTGAGCTGTGGTTGTCACAAGTTCATTGAGCCTTATGCAGTACATGAATAATGATAGTATACATTCTATTACATCTCTCAATGTTGCATATTGTCAGTGTTTCAGAATTATAGTGCCATTCTAGTCCAAGACAGTATTGGGAGATCTCTCATCAACAGACTGCCGAATGGACTCTTTTCAGGGTCCTTTATTAGCAGTGTGTCAAAAGCATGTGGGAGCCCGAGGTGTTGTCCTATGACTACAATATCCCAATGCGGAACATCTAAGTGACAAGTTATTTATTACATGATGTTGCGACACAATCCCCGCTATCGGTTACATCACATTGATTGCTCCCGAGACATTTGATATGAAGTTTTATATTTGTTATGAAACGCCATGAAATTTATCTAATAGAACAAAGAACGACTTCAAACGCCTTTCCATCCTGGTTCCCACCTCCGAGTCCCGAGATCATAACCAACCCTAAATATAAGAACGAAAGTTTTTGGCCTAGGCATTGTGGCGCTGAGCTCGTCGCATGCTCCTCCTGCCTTTCTTGGCGTTCATGGCAATATCAGCACCTTGGCCAGGAGTACAGGTAACTCCAGAAGAAAGCTGTTGAGCGGCAGTCCAAGCACCACTGGCACAGCGCTGGAAAGTTGAGCCGCCGATACAATTCCACTCGCCCTCGTTTGTACAGGCAGTTCCAGCAGTGAAACCACTGCTTCCAGAGCCAGAACCAGAACCGCCAGAGCCAGAGCCAGAGCCAGAGCCGTCAGTAGGTGTCTCGGGAGCAGCAGGAGCTTGAGTGGCAGTAGGTTGAGAGGCAGAAGGCTGAGACACAGTAATGAAAGCGCCACCAGGGATCTCCGAGGCACCGTTGGAACCATCGCCAGAGCCAGAGCCAGCACTGGGAGCAGGAGTAGTGGCGGGCTGAGTGGGTTGAGCACCGACGTTTGTAGTAGGGGCAGCAACGGGGGTCGAAGGCTGGGTATCACCTCCGCCAGAACCACCACCAGAGCCGCCGCCGGAGCCAGCCTTCTGGCATCCATCGCCCTTGGGACCATCAAGCTTAGACTTGAGCTGGCTGACGTCCTTGCCAGGGTTGGGGAATTTAAGGTCAGTATTGGGAAGAGTTTCACAGTCATTGCCAACATTAGCGACGAACATGTCAGGGAGAGAGTCCAAGAGGCCCTTAGAGCCACCTGAGCCCTCAACGGTGATGGCAGCACAGTTCATGTACATCTCGCGGTTGCCAACATGGTTGAACCAGGTCCAGGCAAGTGTGTACTCGCCAGCTGCCAACTCTTTGGGGATTGTGAAGTCGTACTTGTCAGGGTTCTGGGCATCAGCATTGTCACCCAGGTTTCCTGTTGCGGTTCTTGAAGGGCAGCCTCCTTCATAAGACTTGATGACTTTCCAAACAGAGTCCTTGGTAGGGTTCTTATCAGTGGTGAGAGAAACTTGACACGAGCCTCCGCCATGAACAGCTTGGCCAGTGAATGAGAGCTGTTGGGTGCTGCCTTGCTTGTAGACGTTGTCACCGGAGCCATCATTGACCTTTCCCTTGCAGGGGAAGTTTGATCCGTCTGCAAAGAGAGGGCTGTTGTCTGGGTTTCCGTACGGCTTGGGGTTGTTCATGAGCATATGAGCACTGACAAGGGAAGCCAGGCTGGCAAAAGTGAACGCCTTTGCGAACATTTTGATTGAAGGGGGAAAGATCTAAACGTTCCGGACGGTAGACTCAATGTTCAGGTAGTGAGATTGTCGTCAAGACAAGAATCGAGTGATATGAGTATAGGACTGGAGAGTCGTAGCTCGATTCGAGTATGGGTGAAGGAAGGGTCGAATTGCACCAGGCAATCCGTGAATGTCGTCGAGACAGAAGAAAGGACTAGCCTTTGGAAAGAAAGAAGAAGGAATGGAAATGTCGTTCAGACAATCTCACTTTGAAGGACTGGCTGGAGACTTTTGAAGTCGTTGGTGAAGAAGAATGGTAACACGGGGGAGGAAACGGCGTCTTATATGGACTTGACCTCGCTCGATGGACTGGCCACCAGTGCTCTGATGGCAGACATCGAGGCAAGGGATTTCCGTGAGCGGGAGAAACACCCGCGAACGGACGCGGCTGCATGCGACTGAGAGGCGATCATAGTGGACCTTTTTTCCGTATAGCCAGGGAAGAGTCAACTTCTAGTAAACATGCATAGCCACTCAGGTTTCTTCAATGCAATTGCTGAGTCTCGTTTCGAAGCAAGGCGGAGGTGCTAGGCCCGGAGGACTAAGAGACGATTTGCAGCAAGCGATGCATGATAGGCTGACGACAATGTTTCAAGACTCATCTGGTCACGAAAGGAAAGTGTGAGTGGACTGGACCCATGCATACCCCGGAGGAAAAGACGAGGTTTATGCCCCTGACTAGCGATTCGTGTGTTTGCAGGGAACCTGTCCTGCCTGAAAGAGGGATCTGTATGGAAGACGACAACGGATCTATTGCCGTCGCCCTTGTTTAGCTGCGAGGCCCCTGTGCGGTTTGTTCAAGCGCCTTCTACAAGAATGATGAGCCACTCGATGATTTGTTGTTTGTGAACGGCTCTATGCTGTCAGCTTAGCGTAGGCCGCCCATACATTCTCCTTGGTGGCAAGGGAGCTTAGTCGGTGAAGTAATGACTGAGAAAAGAATATGTGGTTGGGGCGCAAGGGGCTCCAGTTGTGCGACCACCAATCAGGCCCTGTCGAACCAAGTGCTCGGGAAAGACGATGGCCAGACTGGGGACTTTGAACAACCCTGCCCTCAACGTCATGCTACGGAGTACAGCACAGCAAGTTTCTGTTCATGTCCTGGAATACATTTCACCATGAAAAGACTCCTTGAATTCTAACATGGCAAAAGGTTCGAAAGGAGGATTCACATAATAATTCGACATCCATCTGTTGATTTGCCTCAGTGATCCGAGCTCATTGTCGAGTCAATGCATTGTTCGGACATCCGTGTCATCCCCTGCAGTGGCAGTCCGTCGTGCTGGGCCAGCCATTACGAGAATCCTAGCTCTTGATAGCGGGGTTCCGATGCCAATCAGGGGGTGATGACAGGGATATAAGGCTGAGCGACAGGGGTACGGCCAAGCGATCGTGTTGAAATGGATTAGTGGCTTGAAAGTCCAGAACCAGTCAGTTGTCTCATTCTTGCCAAGACAAGAAAATTGAGGATGGTGAGATTCGACGGCCACAGAGAGGAATTTCGCAAAGATCTATGCTGCACATCGAGATACCGCTAGGTATAGTTCGCAGCTACTATGAGTAATTTGGCGTTGACCTTAGACCTTGATGCGACTCGATAATAGTATCGGAGGTCCGACGGGATCCATTGTCGTTGCAGGCTGGGCATTCTGGAGGCCTGCCATCTTCAGGTATCCCCTGGACGATCGCCTCCAAGTCAGGGAGCAGCTGTAGATCTTGGACAGGGCAAAAGTCTTTCACGTGTGGTCGAAAAGATCTCAATCAACGTCTCCTGACACTCCTCCCTTTTTGGGATTTATCTCCGTGTCACGAACTAGGACGGCAGGGGGCCGTCCCTTGGACTCCCGGAGAGACAATTCTTTTTCTTCTCCCTCATGAAACAGGCACAGTTTCATAAGTTGCTTCCTTAGTGACAATGGGCTTTTATGACAAGCCAATCATAAAGAGAATGTATCATACACGAGGCGTGGGCACCTTGCGTAAGTTGCGGATAAAGGCCTCATTCTCAGAATTTTCTGCAGGGAGTTGTCATGATGTTTCGCGGCTTGGTGTTTTGGTGTTTCGGGTTTGGATGAGAGGCGGTGTTGGTGTTGGAGTGGGGTTGAGAGATCTGATGTTGGTTGGAAAGCTGGGAATATGTGTAGCGCCCGGAGGGAACCGAGACTTCTTCCTAGCCAACGTCGCAGACTGAGTGGTCAACTACAGTGAGTGATAGCACTTATAGGTCTCTTTAGCGTATGGTCTATCGACAGAGGCTTTGTGCCTAGATTCCTTTCCAGGCCAAAGTGAGATGACGCTTGCGTCCACTGGAGCACACTTCACAGCATTGGATCCGAAACCAGTAGTTTGATGTCTTGTACCTCTATTGGATCTGGCATGCGAATGATGAGATCCAATCGCCGTGTTACATTAACGCCAGATACAGCTCTCTTTAGGGCTGACGGCACTATATGCAGATAGCTCAGAATAGCATCGTTGTTGTTGTTGTTGTTTTCAACATTCTCACCTACGGTCACCAATGGTAAATCGCATATAGTCGCCGATATATCTTCAGTAACAACTGTCTAGGTTAGGTGGTTTTTCAGCCATTCTCGTGACCAAAAGCTCATGCAGCCCAACCAACAAACAGACCTGGGAGAAAATGCAGGGGTGATGTCGGACGAAACACGGCGATTCTCTCACGATATCTACCAAGGGTCTTATTATTAAGGGTCTCTGGGTTCAGATGATCCTCACTCAGCTGGCACTTGTAAAACTTGGCAACGTCAACCACGGTTGAGATTCAACTTGGGAATCCGCATGAAAGCACCGGCCACATTTTCTCCAGCAAATATCCACGCGGTATTATTAGGCCAATTGAACACTGTCGATCTGATTGGTCTTTATCCTAAGTTTCAAACATGACGGACATGGCCGGGTATAGTAGCCGCGTAAACAGGTGGCGTAAAGTCATATTCCTCATGGAGGAGGAGGAGGACTTTCACCTGTAACCATTGACCCGAGCACGTTCAGAGAGAACCACCGGGAACCATCAGCCACATTTCACATAGATTAATACAAAACGAAGCTCTTTAGCACTGTACACTTAATTGATAATTATAAATTCAACCTGCACTGAAAAGGAACCTTCTCGACACTTGTTACTTGAAGGATTCACCGCAACGTTTCGTCAGCAGGTAGATCTAATGCGCCGCAAACTCGTACCATCTGCAAAGATGCACTAAATCTGGCAAAGATGAGACTCTAGCTTATATCCTTTATTAGAGCAAATGGATACATGCGTACGTCTTCAGTATACTAAAATCAAGGGTGGACAGATGCGTCCCGACAGCCTGGGACAACTTAACCGCCCGTGACTTTTAATGAGGCCCAACACTCTGTCGGCACAAGGCCAACGTCAGACCTGCAGTTGTGAATTACTTCATGATGCGTTGTCTAGTTCTTGGCATAACCGGGCGCTTGCGAAACTTTTTAGAGATAATGATTTGTCTAATTCATCTCGTCGGACTATATCATCTATCTATGGGGCCCATTCCGCCAACCGGTTTGGCGGTGCCCGTGTCTCTATTCTTCACCGCTATGAAGCAAATCCGTTACAATCAAGCAAGCGAGTGACCTCTGATACCGGAGAGCGCTTACAGAAACAGGTGCTTACTTCCACTCATCATTGGCGGTTCCTTCGGGGATGTCTGCATCCATATCATTAGTATAAGCACCTGAGCATGCTGAATAAGCTTACCTTCACCGAAACCAAGACCAGCTCGAGTCCAGTTCTTCATCTTTGACTTTCGAAACTCTTCAAAATCCCATTCGCCCTTCTCGAGGTGATCGGGGTTGTCGAAAACATAGACAAAGGTCTCCTTGGTCTCCTCTTTCTTAGGAGTAGTTCCGTCTTTGTTGAGAACCTTGACTTTGACCTTCTCTTTGAAGTACTCAGATCCCTCAAACATGTCGAGCTTGTCAACATTGCCGTCGGTCAGTCCAGTGGCATATATGCCAAGGACAGAGTGGCCCTTCTCGGGGACCACTGCAGGGTAATCTGCACACTCAACTCTGTGGCGACAGTAGCCGTCTAGGATAGCAGGAGTGAATGTGTGCATGTCCTTGATGGCCTTGGGAGGGTCTCGATCGCCGTAGCAGACAGTAAAGAACACCTCGGGAGCCATCTAAAGTAATAGATTAGTACTCGGCTTCGAGAACGACCTGTAAACCCACCAAGGTGCCTGCACATTCTTTAGTCAACACGGTTCAATTAGTCTTAAGATATATCACTCACCATAGAAGAAAGCCGTGAAGTCGCCGCTCATTTTCCGGTGTTGGTTTTGAGGCGAGAATATCAAGTGGTTGAGTCACTAGTATTCAGATCGGTGTGATGTGATAAGCCAGTTACAAGGCTGTTTAGTGAAATGCGGTGCTGATGATTTGTGATGGAGGACGTTAGCCTGAAGAGAAAGAATAGAGTTTAATATATAGTCCACAGAGGAGAGGAGAGGAGAGTTATAAGCAGGGAAAACCTTTGCGACTTGGATTGATGTCTGCTTGATCTGTGAATCATCCTCTGTTACCCTATCCCTGAGCTGAGGTTATCAAGCGCACCGCAATCGGTGGGGCCATCAGCACGTATGAGGAATTCTGTATCGAATTTCCCCTTTCTGTGCTATTATTTGCTTGACAAGCATATTGAGTTGTGAAATTGATTTCGCTAATATGTTATATTTATATGTAGCTGCTCATATAATATCAGACAAATGTTTCTAAACCCCGAATTATGGAATCAAGTATTTCAAACAATGTAGTACAATCTGCTTGTCCTCGTCCTTGTCTTACATGGTCGTCGAGGAGGAACAGATAAGATATAGGATAAGATACGGTCACGCTATCGCCCGACTCGTAGTCCTTGACCTTGAAAGTAAGTCAAACATGATTGGCCAAATGATGAAGCTAATGCCGGTAAAATATTAATACGGCGTTAGCGTCTAAGGAATTGGCGGCTGCACCCCCCAGCATAGTTGTTCTCGTAATTTTCAACGCGACGGCCCTTCACGTCAAGTTCGACTTTCAAGCTTGCCCAGCAAGACCATACCTATCGCCCATCGCAAACATAACGAATCCCCCACGTTCCCTCGCCGAAATCACCGCAAACTTCCAGAGTCTGCTGCGAAAGAACCTGCAGATTGGCCTTTTTGTTTCGTTTGTTGTTAATGACACGATATCGATCGCAATAAGCAACTCCGTAACTCAAATCTTCCTGCCCTTGAGTTTAAAGGGCCGGCATCATACCGACACCTCTGCGGATGGAGTTTCGCCAATAATGCAGCCATGTCGGGCACCACTATAGATGATGTCGTTAAGCGACTCAGCGCAACTGATATCGGTACGAATACACTTGAAATCAACCCCAACCGGAACTGCTGTCGCATGTCTGCAATACTGTGACTATGACCACTGACGAGGTCCAAACCTAGATGTTAGACTTAAGCTTGAAGCTGCAACTACGTTGCGCGATAGCTTAGATCACTATACCAGTGGTCAAATATACCCGCCCTTCCTAAAGAGATTAATGCCCATCTTCTTTACCATCTTACGAGGACCATGCATCTTTCAAAGCAACTCACCAGACCAGGTCAGTCTAGAAGTCCAATGGATCAACCTGCTGCTAACGTGTGCCAGAAACTTCGAATGGCCATCCTCGAGGTCATTCACCGATTACCAACCCAGCCCGCTCCTCCTGAACCCTTCGAACCCCACGCCGAAGAGACAGTCGATTTGTTGATGCAACTTGTACGAACAGACAACGAAGAGAACGCGACAATATGTGTGAAGATAATATCGGACATTATGCGCCACCAGCACAAGGTGTTACAGGGCAAAGTGCAGCTCTTCCTCACTCTTATTCAAGAGCTTTTCGAGCAAATGGAGAAGGTCGTTCGAGAGCAGCTTGACAATGCACCCCATAATGCGCCGTCGCAACCAGGAGCGCCCTCAACCCCTGGCAACTCGCAGACGAACTTTCAGTCCCCAAGGCCAGGGTCACCAGTCGCTTCCGTCAACGATCTTGGTACCGATACACAGCAACAGAACCGCCCCCTGCTGAAGGGTATGCACTCCTTCAAGGTTCTCTCCGAATGTCCCATTATCGTGGTGTCCATATTCCAGGTTTATCGAAACACGGTGCAGCAGAACGTCCGGAAGTTTGTCCCTCTCATTCAGAATGTGCTGTGCCTCCAAGCTTCAGCACAACAGCAAGCACACGCCGATGCTGCTGCCAAAGGAACGATTCATACGGGAGTGAGCCCTGCTATCAAGAATCGGGTGGCATTTGCCGATTTTATTACTGCTCAAGTCAAAACGATGAGCTTCTTGGCATATCTTCTTCGGCAATACGCCTCGCATCTGAACGACTTCTTGCCTCGACTCCCCGACATCGTCTTGCGTCTCCTGAAAGACTGTCCTAGAGAGAAATCCGGCACACGCAAGGAATTGATTGTTGCGATTCGCCATATCATCAATTACAATTTCCGCAAGATCTTTATTCCCAAGATCGATGAGCTCCTGGATGAGCGGACGCTCACTGGTGATGGATTGACAGTGCACGAAACGATGCGACCTTTAGCATACAGCATGCTTGCTGATCTCATCCACCATGTCCGAGACTCTTTGAAGCCAGAACAGATTAGGAAGACCGTTGAGGTCTACACTAGGAATCTGCAGGATAATTTCCCCGGCACAAGTTTTCAGACCATGAGCGCGAAGCTCCTGTTGAATATGGCAGAATGCATAGCGAAATTACCCAACAAGGTGGATGCAAGACATTATCTGATCATGATTCTGAACGCGATTGCCGACAAGTTTGCGGCCATGAACCGGCAATACCCCAATGCTGTTAAGCTCTCTGCTCTGTATCGTGAACAGATGAAGGCTGGCACCCCCGAGACATACTTAGCCGACAAGGACAGTCCCCCCGACTGGGATGAAACCGACATCTTTTCTGCAGTACCCATCAAGACATCAAACCCGCGAGATCGAGGTGCTGACCCTGTCGTCGATAATAAATTCCTTTTTCGAAATTTAATGACAGGCCTAAAGAACACCTTCTATCAGTTGAGGACATGTAACGTTGGGTCACCTATTGACGCTCAAAATGCTCCCACGCACTGGCAGGATGTTTCTTATGGTTTCACAGCCGAAGAGGTTAAGGTCATCATCAAGCTCTTCCGAGAGGGTGCGTATGTCTTCAGATACTATGAGATTGAGAAGCCAGCAGCGGAGTCCCAGTACATGTCGCCAGTAGAATACATGGCCAACTTCTACATGGTTTCATGTAGCAAGGAGGAGAAGGACCTTCTTGAGACCTTTGCTACCGTTTTCCATGCCATCGATCCCGCTACTTTTCACGAGGTGTTCCAGCAGGAAATACCGCGCCTTTACGATATGATCTTTGAACATACAGCGTTGTTACATATACCCCAATTCTTTCTCGCTAGCGAGGCGACTTCCCCTAGCTTCTGCGGTATGCTTCTGCAATTCCTCATGGAGCGAATCGACCAGGTCGGCTCTGCAGATGTCAAGAAATCATCCATTCTGTTGAGGCTTTTCAAGTTGGCTTTCATGGCTGTTACCCTATTCGCCAACCAGAATGAGCAGGTATTATTACCACACGTTGTCAACATTGTCACGAAATCCATCGAGTTATCAACAAAAGCAGAAGAGCCAATGAACTATTTTCTCCTTCTTCGCTCGCTGTTTCGCAGCATTGGTGGTGGTAAATTCGAGCAGCTATACAAGCAAATTCTCCCTCTGCTTGAAATGCTTCTGGATGTGCTCAACAATCTTCTCATGGCTGCACGAAAGCCATCTGAGCGCGACCTCTACGTGGAGCTCTGTCTCACAGTCCCGGCTCGACTCAGTCATTTGTTACCGCACCTCAGCTTCCTGATGCGCCCACTCGTTGTTGCTCTGCGCGCAGGCACAGATCTCGTCGGACAAGGACTGCGAACACTGGAGCTGTGTGTCGATAACTTAACAGCCGACTATCTTGATCCCATTATGGCACCTGTTATCGATGAGCTGATGACTGCTCTCTTTGACCATCTCAAACCTCACCCTTACAGCCACTTTCACGCCCATACCACGATGCGAATTCTTGGTAAACTGGGTGGGAGGAACAGGAAGTTTATGACCAGTGCTGTGCCGCTTACTTATAGGGAGTATGCTGATGATCCCTCGAGCTTTGATCTGAGACTTCTGGGGTCTAAGAAGGACAGAGCCTTTCCTGCTGACATGGGAATTGACTTTGCTATACAGAAGTTAATGGAGTTTCCAAAGGCAGCCAAGAATAACCACAACAAACAATATGATGCTTACTATAAGAAGCAAGCATTGCATTTGATCAAGGCACAGCTCAAACTTCGAATCGGTTATGATCAGTTGCCAGATGACCTTCCGCGTCTTTTGCGACTTCAAGCTGAAGATCTGGTTGCGAGAAGATATGAGATCAACACCGCCAATTTTGAGATCTCAGACCGTGAGCGATCAATTCCGAAGAAGGAGAGCGAAGATCTGGTCGTCAAACAACTTCTCAAGGCCATCATATTTGCCCATTCCTTCCCTGAATTCAAGGATGAAGCTAGCACCTTCTTGCTAAACGTTTGCAAGCACTTCGCGATCATTGAGATTGGTAGAGCTTTGGTGGATTTGAAGCGCACATTTAGCCCCTTCGACCCTAACGCTGGCGAGGGCCCTTTGCACATCGATACACGCAATCTCTCGGACGCCATTGTTGAGTCACTGGCTTCTGATCACCCTGATGTGCGCGAGGCGGGCAAGAGTGCCATTCGTGAGATGTATGACGCTACAGCAATTATCTTTGGTTCAGAAAGCGATGTTGGCAAACTCCCTTTCTTCAGTCATCTAAGCAGTACTTTCTGCCACAGCTGCTATGAAGAAGAGTGGTTCACCAAAACTGGCGGTAGTCTGGGAATCAACTACCTGCTTACTGAACTTGATCTGGGCGACACGTGGATCACATCCAAGCAAACCGAGTTTATCCGTGCACTTACTTATGTGGTCAAAGACATGCCCCAGGATCTTCCTGAAAAGACGCGTTGCCTCGCTCAAACTAGCTTGGAGGTCCTCTTGAAGCGTATCACCAAAGACATAACTAAAGAGGACACACTACCCATCACGCAACAACCAGGGCAGCCGCAAAACCCTCAGCTCAAGCAGCCTCGACTTTCCCAGATTTGTCAGCAATTTGGCAACGATCTGTACCATATGAACAAGCATGTTCGAGAGACCGCAAAACACT